GCTGTCCTGGAACTCGCTATGTAGACCAGGCTGGCCTTGAACTCACAGAGTGGTGGGATTAAAGGTGTGTGCCACCATGTCCAGCTAAATCTTTAATTAAAAAAAAAACAAAAGGGGGTCCCTTGGGGCTGGAGAGATGGCTCAGAAGTTAAGAGCACTGACTGCTCTTGCAGAGGACCTGGGTTCAATTCCCAGCACCCACATGGCAGCTATGAACTGTCCTTAACTCCAGTTCCAGGGGATCCGAAACCCTCTTCTGACCTCCGAGGCATTGCACAACACGGGTGCACTTACTTACATGCGGGCAATACACTCATACACTTAAAATAAAAGTAATAAATAAAATATTTTTTAAAAAGGGGTCCCTTATCAGAGCTGAATCCTTGCCTCCACTGTCCCCTTCTATCTCTGTTAGAGAGTTATAGTGTGCCCCATTCTGGGGCTGCACAGGCTTGGGATGGCCAGGCTGGGGTTCCAGGCAGTTAAGGAACATGTCCAGCAGTCTGGTGGCTCTGTTCTCCAGCAGGCTGCAGCACCCAGCAGCCCTCACCCATGGGACTTCTGTCATGCCTCACACCCAGGTGGTATTTTCCTCACTGCCTGGGAGAAAAGCAAGAGGCACAGCTGAGGCCTGTAGAAACATTTTCCCTAAGCCCAGCTATTTCTCACGGCTGAGTTGAAGGGACCAAATGCCCCAAGGTCAGTGTTTAAGGTGAAGACCGACAAAGTCAAATGCAGGCCACTGAGAAGGTGTGAATGAGTTGAAAGCAGAGTGCCCCCATGGTCAAGGCAAGGAGAAGCCTAGGACACCCATGCAAACTATGTGGTTGTTTGTAGGTATGGCCTGGTTTATCACCTAAGAAGGGCTTTTATATTTATGAATGGGGCATTTAAAAATTATAAGAATATGCAATAGAGACTGTCTTGGCTCTGCACAGCCCAGAGTATTAACTCTCTGACCCCATCCAGAAAGTCTGCTGACCCCATAGAGGTATTCAGTGCATAGATGATATAACTGAGGCCTGGGGCAGGAAGGCCTGGCTTGGTGACAAAAGACCCACGGATGAGGCCCTGAGGGGAAATTGGAGCTTCTGGCAGTGGCTGAGGGAGAAAAGTTTCACATTCGCAAAAGTATTAACTATCACCAGGCAGGGGCAAGTGGCCGAACACGTACCAGCATAGAGTTCCCCAGCTGCCGGAACCAGACCATACATCTTCCCTGCTGTGTAAATGTCCTCGCCTCTGAGGGTCACAGCATCGATGTGTCCAGCCTGCAGGGAACAGAGAAAGCCCTAGCATGCTTCTGGGTGTCAGGAATCCCTGGGAATGGCAGGGCCTGCCCCTGGGCGGGGAGAAGTTGTGACTTTCGCCTCCCTTCCCTTTGGGATACCCTGGTTGGGAGGACCCCATCCTGCCCACCTGTCTCTTCCTGTGTTTGTGAAGAGGTCAGGCCTGGAGAGTTGGACACTCCAACCCCTGGCATCTGCTTCACTCTTTCAGAGCATGGCTACTACAGTTCTCCTGCAGCCCTGCTCTGCATAGCACTACCCTTTCCCTACTGCTTAGTGTGGGGTCCCCACAGACCGCCATCGCCCCTGCTGCCCAAGGCCTGAGTTCTCTCAGCACTCTGTGAAAGGAGGCACACTGTGCGGACAAGTGGCCCAAAACTGAAAAGATGACAATCTTAGGCCACAGGATGATGCGCCAGGATTAGGGACAGGCCCTGTCTGAGGAGACAGCAGACTGGCCCAGGCAAGTCTTCCAGGTCTACTGAAGACTGTCCATTCTGAAGCCTTTTGATAAGTGGCTCAGGCCCCCCTGCAAAGGGGTTAAGTGGTAATAAAGTCACAGGAATATGGCAACCCCAAGGAAAGGGCCAAGGCTAGGGAGAGAGGGATGCACTGTGTGCCCCACACCATTCTGGCCAAAGGCATGAAGTGTTAACAGTGAGCAGAGGCTGTGACACTGATAATTCGGCCTGGAGGTGGCATCTCTAGGGCTCTTTACTCCCTCCACTCGACCTCATACCTACCTTGATGCCAGGGAGAACACAGAGCCTGGACCCACAGCCCAAGGCTCACTCACTATGGAATCCAAGAAACACAAGTTAGAGCCACACTGGACACCATCCCCAGAGCTTGGGAAGATGGAACAGAGGCTCTTTGGGCCTCTTGCTTGACTTTTGAGGAGACCTGGAGGAGACTCTGCTCCCCTCCTCATAGGCCTGGTACCCTCTTCCCACCACAGTCCTCTGCAGGCTGAGTGGAAGGAGGCTCCAGGTGAGGGGTAGCTGCCCCAGCCCCTCTCACCCCTTTCTACATATGGCATTTTGAACTACCCCACCACAGACCAGCCTGCTAGGCATCAAGAAATAGACACACTCTTTCCTCATGTCCAACTCATGTTGTGCCCCTTCCATCAGCTCACACACAGCTGAGCTCAGTTCTGTGAGACAAATTTCTGTCAGCCCGCAGGCCATGTGGCTCCTCCCACCTGAGCTGGTGACCTTGGCAAGTTGCCTCCTTAATTTCTCTCAGCCTGTCTCCAGATCCACATATTGGGCTAGTGCTCACATTCCCACCCCACAGGGAGGTCATGAGGATGAATGAGGTAATCCACACAATGGCCACAGGGGCAAGGACAGCAGGACCCCCTTCCTGCAGGCATTTGGAGTGCTCCACACCCCAGCCTCAGCGTCTAGACAGGGAAGCCAGGAATACAGAATTTCATGGGGCCTGAGCAAGGGCTGTGGTTTTAGTTGTGGATTGTGAGTGATTTGCGGGTACCAAGATAGCTGAATGGATCAAAACATTTAAGGAAAAGACTAAAATCAAATAGAGTATAAAATATCAAATATTGCTGATTTTATCCTTCTATATATAGGAGACATAGTTTTTACATATTTCTGTTGGAAAGCAATTTTGGGGTACTAGATCACAAAGCACAGTAAAATCTACTTCTGAGTGTGGGTTGCTGTCAGAAACATCTAGCAAACAGTGATGGCCCAGTCCCACCCTGCACAGGGGAAACAAGCTCAGGACTTGTTTGGGCCACAGGTCTGTTCCCAGCCCACCATGCTCTTTCCTCCCCGATTCCTCTGTGGACTTGTCACAGGGTACGTCCTCCTCCTCCCATGCACGGGTGATAAAGACCACCAAGGCCCTGCAACCGCCTCCTTCCTGACCCACCTGGATCTGCTCCATGCAGTGCTTGGGGGACTCAGCTGACACGCACTGGATCTCTGGCTTCAGTCTCTGCCGGCTGAAGGCCACAGCCATGTCTCCACACTTCTGGATCTCTGGTGTGGACAGCACACACCAGCGCAGGTAGTGGGGCAGCCCTGTGTGGGGTGCACATGGGGGCTGGTATTTCATCAGGAAACCCTTCAAGTCAGACCTCAGGGAAATTCTGGGGCTCTCTCTTATTAGCCATGTTAGCCAAGGATATGTCAACCATCTGATCCCACTTTCTCATATGGAAAGCAGTGAGACGCTTGAGAGACTGCGGCTGCTGTGGATCTAACTCAGTCTGGCATGCTACTTCCCTAGCCATAAGTAGGAGATCTACATGGATGGGGGCTAGAAAGACAATACATGAGCCAAGGCTGTGCCACAGGGTAAACAGAGGTCATGGAACAAGAACGGATAGGACTCAGTGGTCCCAAGACAGGCTCTGCTGGCCTGAATCATAGTCCCCAGAGCAGGTGGGTTTTCTAGGTCACACAACCACAGGACTGCTCCCTCCCCAAACCCATAAGTAGCAGAGAAGTGGAAGTGACAGGTTTCCATAGAGGCCACAAGGCACTGCCAGAGCTCCTGGGTGAGTGTTCTCCCCTGGCTACCTCCACAGTGAGTTCTGCCATGCTGTGCACAGGCCGAGGTGGAGATGGTGGGGTCGGGGACAGGAGAACTCACAGTTGGGGTCACAGAGCAGACCCTTCATGGCATGCAGGTACTCCTGGCCCAGCCAAGCCTCGTAGTTCTGTGTGGCGATGGGCACGAGCTCCAAGGTAGAATCCTTGAACAGCAGGTTTTTTTGCCCGTAGGCCTCAGAGCTGAACATCTGGAAACTGCTACCCTCATGGCTGAACAGAAGCTGCGTTTCAAGGGTGGGTGCAGGGTGGTGAGGGTGCTGCGGGTTACATCCCTTCTTCCCCAGTTCAGTTACTTGCACCTCTTTCCTGTGACCTCAGGCCTACTCCAGCCTGTCCTCCACAGTGCCTTCCCCAGGCTCCTCCGGTTCCCCTGCCTCATCACACTTGGCATTTGACACAGGACTTGTGCCAGGTTCAGATATTTCTGAGTATAAGCACTGACTGGGCAGTGGCTGTTGTAAGCAGGGTCTCAGCCAGACATTGCCATAGTTAATGGCACAGCTGTCATTGTATTTGCTCATAGGTTCTGGTTTTGGTCTTCGGAGGCACAAGAAGGAGGAGCTTCCTGGGAGAAGTGCCAAGGCTCTCAGTGGTGCCCCTGCTCTGGCCATTCCCCCTCCTTGCCAGCCTGAACACTGGTCTTCCATTCACACTGAACTGGCTGATGGGCCCATGTGGGTCTGTCCCAGGGTGGAGTCTAATCCTGTCTCTCTCAGTCTTATACCTGAGTTCCCACCCCGTGAGTAATGCAAGGCCCCAGTGTTGTCTGGGAGCCTTTGGGGAATAGTACCCCACCTCACCTGGCCCTCATTGAGCAGTCGGAAGATGAGGCCCCCATCCATGTCAGCCCGGACCACCACAGCGTGTGCAGGAACCCGGGCCAGGTGGCATCGCCTCCACTCTGTGACTTCTGCCCGGCTGCCATCCCGGCACAGAAGCTGGAAGTCCTGTGACAGTAGTGTCTGGCCCCAGGAGGGCAGGGTTTTCCCTGGAAAGTGGGGGCTGGAGAGTCAGCTTTAGTCTTCATAGAGGGTGGGAAGGGCAATGGGGACCAGGAGAGGAGCCTAGGTGTCACAGGGATGGGAACCTAGCACTCATGATGGGAGCTCTATGGCAGTACGTACTACTGGTTTACTTAAGCTTTTGACCTCATACCAATTTCTGTCAAGAAGGCAGATTTGAGGTAGCTTACGATAATATAAAACACATAAGCAGAGCTACTTACTAATGTTGAGAAAGGAAATGAGAGATGCTTAAGATGAGAGAGATAAATGTACTAAAGTGGACAGGGGGCAGAGGGCAGGGGGCATGGGGTATAGGGCAGGGGGTAGGGGACAGGGGACATAGGGTAGGGGACATGGGGCATGGTACAAATACTTCTGACAGAATCTATTAGAACCGTAGCTATGAACAAACTTCCCAAGCTTTGCCCCCGTGCCAGTTGTTAATATTTGGGTCTGTTTCCACTAAGGCCTTTTAAAATTTCTAATATTTTCTGTTTCTTTTTTCCAACCATTTTGAACATGGTTAATTTTGCATTCCACTTTCTTTTTGCATATTTCTGTATTTTTCCATACTATCGGAAACTTTCCATAAAGTTCACATTGCTTTTTTCACAATTGGTTTTATTTTTATCTACATGTAGGTGTGTGTGTGTGTGTGTGTATGTGTGTGTGTATGTGTGTGTGTATGTGTGTATGTGTGTGTGTA